ATCGAGCAGCTGCTCTGTATCCAAGTCCGCAAAGCCCTTGCCTAGCCTTGTAGCAGCAGCCAGGTTGGGAGCGGACACAGCTCCGCCGAGGTTTGGGAACAAAGCAGCAGAATGCGCAATATCTCTCGATAGCTTCTCAAACACATCCGTCCTGCCCACAAAGTCTGTCTCGCAGTTGAGCTCGATGATGGAAGCTACTGGTGCAGAGGTGGGAGTGGCAGCATGCGAAGGTGTATTTGCTCGTGCATCGCCGCTGGTGGGATTGATGGGTTGTTGCAAGTCTTTCGTGCCCGATCCAGCGCCATCCGAGAGCACAGCCACTGCGATCCAACCTTCCTTGGCTTCCCTTCCAGCGACCTTTTGAGCCTTTTTCAATCCGCTCTTGGCTCGATCTTCTTCCAGCCACGCCAGCGCAGCTTGAATGTCGTCCCCTTTGGAAGGATCGGAAGTGGACCAGGTGGAAACGATGGCCTCCTTGGCCTTCAGCATCGATGTGCCTGGAATCTGTTTCCGAAGCTCGGCGATGGATGAGATGGCGGGTTTGCGTTCCCTGAGCGCGGCGCTGCTGTGAAGGTCGGCTCGGGAGGCCACAAGGGGAGAATGACGGAAGCTGAAGACAAGCAATGAATCAGATTGCAGCGCTCCGATGGGTACAAGCATAGGCAGACAGCATCTCAGGGCCAGCAGCACTCACCAAGGGGCGACCCGAACAGCGTTGCGGATCGACTGCCCTCCCAGCGCTCTTCTCATAGCTCCAGCGGCGGGCATTGCGGCGACCTTGGTCATCGTGAGAAAGTTGCAGCAATGTAAGAAGAGGAAGATTGGAGAGTTGCAACTCGCAGCAGACGAGGAGCGATGAAGATTTGCAACGCGATGTTGGATAGATTGAGTCTTGAGCGCGAGCAGACCTCGTGTGGAAATTTGAGAAGAAAGTCAACCTCGTCCGAGAAAGAGTCAAAAGTTCTTGGACGAGTCTAAAATTCAAATTGAATGTTGCGCGAGCACGGTGAGTGTGTGCACTCAAAGCACGTGACTTTATTTAGCAAGCTTTGTCCTGCTGAGCCGTGAATACATTTGATTCTGATTCCGCGCACAGGCGTTGGGCCTTGATGAGTCTGCTTTCACTCCCTCGAGCAAGCCAAGTGTCTGGCTCAGAGCAGTCACCGCTCGACCATCACGCCATCATCTCGACTGTAAAGTTAGTCAGGTAGGTCCACGAGCTGGACCGTCGCGCTAATCATCGCACATAGCTCAAAGCGTTCGGCGATGTGCTCGGCGTAGTCTTCCTCGTCGATCAGCCCTTCAGCGGCGATCGAGACGCGGGGCAGACGTCGATACAAGCGGGTTGCTGAGATCAACGACAACGAGCTCCTGTCCGGTAAAAGAATCAGCAACGCAGCACGCGATGACGTCTACCGCTCCAGCCGCATCTGTGGCCTCGCACTCCTCGGACGCATCTCTCACTTCTGCTCAAGGCGCCACGAGCCAATCGCAATCCTCGACTGCCCACACTACGATCTCGTCCAATCCTTCTGCTCACGTAGTCAACAGTGCACCGCTTACCTCAGCTCTTCCTCAGGCCCAGGCCCAGGTTCAGACGCAGCCAGTGGTAGCATCTGTGATCGAGTGTCCTGCCTTAACGCCCCTGCATCTCATAGCTCCAGGCGTGTCATACCTCTCCATGCCCTCCCTCTTGTCCCTGCTACCACCAGACACTAACCGTGGTCCTGCTGCTTCCTCCAGCGCTGGCGTCCTCGACCACAATTCGGCGTATCATGACACTGTCAACATGAACGGGTCAACGAGCCACGCGCAAGATCAACAGATCGACGTGTCCTTCTTGGACATGCTCAACCTCAAGATGTTGATGCTGCTCTCGCCAGAACGGCCATCCGCAAGACTATGCAGATGGGCACATGCAAGCCGAGTCAAGATGGTTCATTTCGGCCTCGGTCCTTGTCCCGTCTCAGCACGCCCTGTCGCCAAAGGCGCCGCCGCCGCACCAACGAGCGCACGAGACCAGCTTACTCGGGCAGGCGAGGATCAGCACGAAGACAGGGAAGCGCACGACACGGAGAGATTGATCAAAGAAGCGCTAGAGTTGATTTTGGATCGTCACAATCTTCCTATCCTGGTAGTGGACACCTCAGGCGCAAATGAGGGGGCCCTACTGCTGGGCTGCTTTCGTCGCTTGCAGGGACGAAACTTCGCCAACATTTGCGCAGAGTATAGGTCCATCGCTGGTTCCAGGGCCAAGACGACCAGCGAGAGGTTCATCGAAATGTTCGACACCGACCTCATCGCGCTGCCTCCACCGGACCGCTTGCCCGATTGGTGGAATGAGCAGTTGGAGGATGATGAAGTGGACGGGAGCGTGTGATGACAAGTCGATGAGCTTCTTGATCTACCATTAAGCGCCCACACTACCCCTTGGGCATCAAAAGCAGACAGAATGGGTATCCAATTGATGTCAAGGGCATCGTCCGGGTATCAGTCGAACAGAAGACCACTGTCATGCCCTGCGACTATGACATGGCTGGTACCACACTTGCCCAGGCCGCGCACTGGTAGTCAGAACGGAACGAGGCTTCAACTCTTGTGCGCCGCTGACTCGACCATCTGTGCGGCGCCGGCCATAGTCCAAAAGCAGTAGCCCTGCAGAGTGGTGCAGAGATTCTGACCCATCAGCTTTCGGAGTCTCTCGTCAAGCTACACTCCATCCAACTCACCTCGTCCCTGAAATCCAACAGATTGGTCGGCGTGAAGCAAGCAATCACCTGCAGGTTCAGCAACAAGTTGCGTGGCTTGCATCGCGGATCTTGCAAGAGGGCTTCGAGCACGGCAACAACGTCGTCCGTCGTTGGTGCCGTCACTGTGCCAAAGTCACGAGGCGTCGACGTGGATTGGGGGCTATCTTGCGTCCAAGCTGCTTCGTCAGCGGGTGCCAGTCCGCCTGCCGCACCCGAGGATCGTGCAGCCAGAGCCTCGCGCGTAAGAGGATGACCTACTCCGCTCAGAATGTCGTGGATATTGGCTACTGCCGGCATTTCCGCCTCTTCTGACTCCTCTGCAATCTCCTCCGCGAGATCCGAGTACATCGATAATGCTCTTCGAGCCCTAGCGACGCTCAGCGGCCGGTCAGAACCACTTAACCGCGAATCACCCGTGTCGACACTACCACTATTCGACCTGTGTCCGTACAAAGCTTGCGCTGCACCGACAGCCCCGATCGTGTCCATCGAAGCTGCTTTGCTGTTGGTCCTACTCCTCACGCCGATGGGGAAGGGTAGACTTTGATTCGCTTTGCGCCCATGCTCTTCCGCCTGACCTGGACGATGATCCGCTGTCTTTGTGACGTAGCTTTGTCTCGACAGCGTCGACACAATCAGTCTTTCGAGCGATAGCAACGCCCGCATCTTTGTGCGCGGCGCTGGATGTAGTTCAAAGAGGCGCAGCAACTCCGCACCGCCAGCATCGCGCACAATTTTTGCAGCCACGAGACTTGCGACGGGGACACCAAGGTCAGCGGCGCTGCTGCTAGAGCGGATCATAGCAGGCAATGATGGGGTGCAGTAGATCATCGGCAACGCTTCGCTCAACAGCAGACTAGTGGCGAGTAGCTGTGAGCGCTGAAGGAATTCTTCGAGTCCCGCGCGGTCGTGTGCGCGCGCCTCTCCTGGCAGCAAGAAGGCAGTTGACCACGCTCCAGACGTCAGGACGACCGTCTCGGGATGCGCATCGCCCTCTGCCTCGCTTGCCAGCAGCAAAGGTCGCGCCAACGCGGCCTCCCTAGCCCAGATTGGACACGCAAAGAATTCCTCGGCCTTGCCCGCGATGACGTTGAAGGCGACATCGAGATCCCTCAGATAGTTGATGGACCTCGCATCCAGCCCAAAATCGTACAAACCCAAGCTCTGTAGCCATTCGTGCCCACTTTCCAGCTTATTGTCGAATCGATCTGAAGTCGATGTGTTCGGACCGAGGTGACTCTGTTCAAATTGCTGCCTCGCTGAATTGCGGGAAGCGAGGACCAAATCGTCGAGCCGAATGTTGACTGAATACCAAGCCTTGACTCGCAACTCGTGCATAGCTGTCAAGACTTCGCGAGTGCTCTCTGTCAGCGTCTGACGCAGAGCGTCAAGATCACCGAGTCGGTGGTGCGATGTGACCAATCGGTCGCGTATGCCGTCCTGGATGGTGAGAAGCGGTTCTGCAATGAGCGCAAGCAGTGGCGCAAAGCTCAGCGATCCTTCGAGACCTGACGCCCAGTGTGGCAAATGCTGACTGACGTGCAGCAAGGCGTCAGCAGCTTCGTCGAATAGCGCAGCGTCTTCATACGCAAAGCGATGGGCTGCGAGGGATGCCGCTACGTGCATGTCTGCGACAAGATTAGCCGGCTGCCCTCTTCGTCTGCTTGACGTGCTGTAGCCCTTTCGGACGAGGGCCATGACGGCGCGACGAGTCAGAGTGAAGGTGGCGCCAGGCAGCGGTTCGAGTGATTCTGATGCGCCATCTTGTGCCGTATCAATGGGACTAGTACTGTGCCTTCTGCCCAAATCGACGGCCATTTCCCCAGCAGTCTGCCAAGAAAGAGCTCGAGCACTCCGAATGGGGAGCGACGCCTTGCGCACCACTGGCGACGCGCCACCGACCTGTGCGCGACTCTTGAACGCCAACGCTGATCGATCGTCGCGCGTATCCTCGAAATCCCAAAAACCATCTCGGTGAGGCGAATGCGGTGGACTGTCCCAGCCACTTTCTCCAGAACCCTGCCAGCCTCTCCTGGGACCAGCCGTGCTACTGGAGTCCAACCGAGAGCTAAAGAAGCTGCCTGTATTTGAAGCTGATGGAGTCATTGTACGCGTGTTAGACCCACGGAGAGTGGAAGTGCTGTCCAGAACAGCGAGTGCCGGGAAGGGGATTGCAGTTAGCGACTCGCTCTCGCTATTTGAATCAGTCGCGGTATCCGCATGTACTGGCAGGCTCGTCGCCGTCCCGGAGGGTTGAACAGTCTTCCTCAGTGCAGCAGCGGGAGCATGGTTGTAGGCCAATCTCGGAGCAGTCTGATGGATAGTATAATGACCATCCACACGCTGGGAGACAAACAGAAGAGCCGTGTCCTCGGGCTCCATCGTGCCCCGAGCCTCGGCGTGCAAAAGAGCAGCCTCAACATCGGTGGTAGCTTCATTCAGATGATCCTGTTCGATAGGTGTCGCAGCATCAGCAGACCTGCTACATGAAGTCTGCTCACTGACGTGCGTGTTCTGCCCCAGATTGTTGGTATCCACGCGTAGCCTGGGCGATCTCTGTGTGGGAGTTTGCGGGGTGGACGCGGGTCTCCGTGTCGCTGCCGGTGTTACCAAGAGGGGGGCGCATACGTGCATCAAAGCTACACCATCGGCGGGTCGCAGAGCGAGCACGGTAACTGCGGTGGAGTCTTCACTCGAAGGCGAATGGTGCACGCCCGCGCTCGAAGACCAGGCAGACGGGTCCTCGGGTCTGCACCTAGACACAGAGGGAGCGGCAAACAGATTGACTAGATCGCAAGCTTCTGGCAGCGTGTTTGATGTGTTGGTGTGCTCCTCTGAGAGTGCGGGCTCAGCGTTCAGAGCTGTGACTATCGCGGCGTAGGTAGCTCGATGAAGCTCTCCAAGCGCGGACGTCGCAGCAAGGTCACTCATCCAGACTCCTCGCAAAGACCTGTATTGATGTGATGAAGCCGTCGAATCTTGTCGAGGAGGGAACGAGACAGTGTAGCAGCATCGACTCGTCCAAGCATCTGGACGCGTAAGGAGTGATCTAAGGCGGCCAAAGGCGTACCAACGCAGCACAAAAAGCAGGAGTAGTTGCCGGTGCGCCGTGGGAGAATCATTCGGAGGGAAGTGCTCGCAGAGCAAGCGTCTGATCACATAGACAGGGAGCGGCAGCTCTATGGCTCCTTCAGGCCGACTGTCGGGGTTCGCTGAGCCGGTGTTGGAAGCGTCACGGCCCAGCAACGCAGTCAGAGTTGTCCTGACCGACCTTATGAGCTCAGCAGTCATCTCGGGATCCGCTTCCGAGGCCGAGGTGGCTGAAATAGATGAAACACGCTTGATGTGTGCCGTGTCGACGGAATGACCAGCATCGCTTTGGACGCGCCTCCTCGAAGCTCGGGCCTCGCGCGGTAGCTGTGACCGAAGCTCTTCCCGAGCATCCAGGGACGGTATGCGAGGAGAGAAATCGGCTAGTGCGTCCTCTTCAGAGACTTGCGGCATGTTAATGCTGTGTTTTTGTCGATGTGCCTGTACTGGCGAAGACCCGGCTACAGTGATCCCCTTCAAGGGCGGAGTGACAAAGCGAGACATGGAAAGTGATGCAGGCGGGGCGTTCTTGCTTGTGCGCTTGGATTGCATTGGAGCATCGACGGCTCGACTCTCCTCGTCAGAAACTCCTTCTCTACTGCCTCCTGGAGCAGCGCCGGACGTCGACCAGAAGTTGGTGACGCTATTGCCAAGCGTCCCAAGTCCTGTGGTGAAGACGTCTGCCGCTTCGGCCGCAAACGTCGACAAGCTTTTCAGCGTCGTTCCGCCGAGCTCGGTATCCTCACTTCCGCCGCTGTTAGATAAGTTGTCTGCGCGCTGGCATGCTTGTGCCAGATTGTTGCTAGACTGTCCTGCGACAGGCGCAGATACGTTGCGAGCAAGACTAGGGCTTCGAATGTGACTTGGTCTGGTGAACAGATCGTGCCTGCGATACGATTGGAGGTGGGCCAGCAGAGCAAGTTCAAGATCCCGTGAAGGATTTAGCAGCGCGCAGATCCTTGGTCTAGTGGCTCGTCCTCTTCCTCGAGCCTGGTGCTCTTGAGTAGCATCGCACGTAGTGACACTAATGCTCAAAGCCTGCAGCTCGTCGAGGACTGCAAGTGCGCATCCTTCGATGTCTGCTTTGCCAGTACCATTCTTCACAAGCTTGTGGCTCAGGCCCAACAACAGCCTCTCTGAGAAAACCGCTAGCCCCTCCGTGCCGGTAGACTCGATCAGAAGCCTGAAGATTGACTGCAAATGCGAGGGCCCGTCTTGCACTGCACACAGCCCCATGAACCTCTCAGAAGGCCATGCCGAGATTGCCTCTGCAACTTGGAGCGGCCGATTGAGAAGGCGCCGCAGTGAACGAAACAAGATCTCTTTGGTTGAGGGACCGTCTACTGATGCAGGCTTCAGTCCGCCGAGCCAACTGGGTAGTGTCTCCCCGTGATCTTCCAGTACCGCAGCGGCGGCCTCACCTGCGCTTGCCTGCGCCCAAGAGTCGAGGACCCGAATGGATTCTTGCCATCTCACTTCGCAATCCTGAACGTCTCGGCTCCACCTGCTGGCAACACCCTCCAACCGCTTGGTCAAGGCAAGGCGCGCGGCCTGGGCCGCTTTGCTAATGATCACTGCATCTGCAGCGGTCAGCTCTGTGGATGCGACGCAAAGCCGCTCGACCTCTGTGGCGAGGTCGTCGTGTATCGCTTGGAGACGAGAGCGCAGCCGTTCAGTATGATGGAGCGCTCGGGAGCGGAGCGTCACAGTTCTTTCCAAGTGGTTGGCGTGAGAGAGCAAGGGTTGTTCCCGTGCAATCAGCAAACGGAGCTTGGCAATGTTGACTTCTTGAGTCGCTACTGTTTGCGGAGTCGATGTTGATGAGAGCCCAAAAGAGGCGTCCATTCCTTGCCTGTGACCGTCTATACCGGCGTTTGCTGATGGAAACGATTCTCTAAGACTGGCCTTCCCAGTGCTGACGTTTTCAAGGCGAAGACCAAAGCTAGCGAGCTACCGCCAAGGCCCAGGATTCGGTGGTCATCGAGGAAAGTGGAAGGGAGGTGTGGAGGTTGGAAAGCACGAACTGAATGAATGCTCAGCGCTGCTGCTGCTGCTGCTGCTGCATGCATGCGCTCTCCCCGCCAATCTTGAATCTAAATCTTGAATGCAAGCTTAGCGCGCTCTTTGCTGCTCGTCGCGGATGCAAAGCCGCGTGCCGCGGCGCAAAGCCACAACGGGGCACATCCCTCACGAGACCCTGCCCTGCGAACTCAACCAACCATCCCCACATCTGCTCCTCACTCGTTCATTGAGGGTTCGCACCTAGCTCTGGCCGCTCTAGCGACACCTCGTGGCCTAGGCCTAGTGCTCCGCAGGGATAACAGAAATGTCAACGCGCGCCATTCAGAATCTGGATGTAGATCGTGGGACCGCGGGCAGGAGAGGCTCATCGGACAAGCTCTCGTGGCTTTTCTTGTTCATGGTGCGTATCGAGCGAAGTGCGCTGCCATCGACGCCACCTTCCTTCTTGCCGGCCTATCGCTCACACCAGGCTCCATCGGCCATCCCTGCATCTCGCCTCCTCTCATTCACAGATCATCTGGGTCGTCGCCTCGACTTTCAAGTGAGCAAGTGGAAACTTGGATGGCTTGAAGCGGCTGCATCTCTGAGGCGCAAGCTCACGCGCCAGCCTGCCTCTTTCTGCAATCGCAGCTACGGCTTTGGCATTGTGAGATGGCTTCTTCTTCTCGACGAGAGACTGGCTGATGACTGACAACTGCTTTCAACAGTCCGAGCTCAATGCTTTGGCTTCAGCGCTTACGTGCCCCAGCCGAGGTGCTGTTTCGGCAAGCTTCAAGTTGCCTGTATGCTTTGAGATTTCATCAAGCAGCTTTGGCATCGTTACGTGCGTTGCCTGAGCTGCTTACTAGCAGTCGTGAGTGCACTTGCTGACACTTCATGTCTCACGCTCCTCCGACAGCGCCCTCTTCACGTTCGGAGGTCTCTTGGCCTCGCTGCTGTTGTCGCCGATCTCTGCCCGATTGAGATGGACACGCAGGCAGACGCTCGGGGTAGCAGCTACCATCAACTGTCTAGGTACGGCATCGCAAGCGTTTGCTCCCGCATCCTGGCTGCTGGGCTTGGGGAGGGGCTTGATGGGAATGAGCGCAGGTATCGCAATAGCTGTTGTTCCTGCTTATCTGAAGTGAGTTCTGCCGGACTGCCGCAATTCCATCAGAATGATCTGACGTTTGTCTGCTCGCGATCATAGCGACTTGGCCCCTCCACACCTGCAAGGCTCAATAGGTGTCTTGAATCAACTATCGATCGTCATCGGTATTCTCATCGCCCAAGCTTTAGGCGTCTCTCCTCTCGGCGCTCCAGCGAGCTCGAAGCACATCACTTTTGCTGGCTGGAGATGGGTACCGATAGTCTCCTTTGCGATTTCCCTTTTGCAGCTTCTTTGCTTCCGCCTCAGCATTGATTCTCCGCGTGAAGCAGGCCCACTGCGGGAGAAGACTCTTCGAGCTAGGCTAGCGGGTCGCAACGCCGGAAGTGGGCTAGATGAAGAGTCGGAAGAACAAGAAGGCCTACTCGATTCCGAGGTCCCCTCGCGTTCAGACACAGAGAGCGCTCGGGCTGAGAAGCCTATGGAACTAAAAGAGCTGATCCAGACTGTGACGAGCAGAGATGGTGCAGCTGGGGCAAAGAGCTTGCGCAAGGGAGTCGCACTCATTGTCCTTACACAGCTGTCGCAGCAGCTTTCTGGCGTGAATGCAGTTCTGTACTACAGCGTAAGTGGACCGCCAAAGTTTGATGCAGTACGCTTTGCACCGACACTCTTCGCACACGACAGTCCAGCATCCTCTCGGACGCCCTTGGAGCGGGATCCGATGGTCACGGTTCCAGTGACAGCGAGGCGACCGCAAAACTCATTGCACTTGGTATAACGGTGAGGAGGATCCGCGCGCTGACCTGCACGTCATGGCTCACTGAAATTCACCCATCTGTGATGTTTGAAAAAAGATTATAAACGCCCTGATGACGTAAGTACGTTGACGTTTGAGGTAAAGCTGTTGCTCATGCGCATCTTTCCTCGTCGGCGAACAGTTTCCCGCCTCTGTATCTGGTGTCCGAGTCTCGTCTGGGTCGCAAGAGTCTGTTGCTCCTCTCTGCAGGTGTCATGTGCGCTTCGAACGCCGTTCTTGCCGTTGGCATCGTCAACAACATTTCCATCTTGTCGGCGCTGAGCATCGTGACAGTCGTCGCAGGCTTTTCGCTTGGCTTGGGACCTGTCCCTTTCCTGATCCTTCCGGAGCTCGTAGAGCCTAGGGTGAGTCGTATGTGCTGCTTGCGATGGACTCCATGTATTCACGTGATTACGCTTCCCACAGGCGGTGACCTCGGCATCAGCGCTAGGTGTTTCGTTGAATTGGACGGCAAACCTGCTCATCGCCTCCTTTTTCCTGCCGCTCCGCAACTTGCTCGCAAGCGTGGACGGAGGCTCTGGAGGAAGCGTCTTTGCTATTTTTGCTGTCATTAACGCAGCTTCTGTACTTGGCATACAGAGGTGGTATGCTTACGAGTGGATAGATCAGCACGATTGATAGAGAGGTCAGATGTAAATCTCATCATTCACTAGCGTGGACCTTTGCAAAGGCGGCTTGAATGCCCACGGCAACTGCAATCGTGGTTTGCTGAGTCGATCTTGTGTCGACCTACACCGCCGAACAGAGCTCCCACTGATGGGATGAGGTGCTTAGTCTGAGGTCCTGAAAATGCTCAATTGCGTTGTGCACGGCTGCGTGCGCGTCGCGCGTGCCAGCCCCGGGAGATTTGTTTTTATTCGTTTTCGCTTGCATGAATTCAGCCAAGCGCGTCACGTTCTGTATTTTGTGCTCCTTGACCAGAAAGGCATCCACGTTATACACGATCCCTGGTTCGCGCATTGGGACCGGAAAGCTGATGGGCTCAGTCAAGAGTGGGAATGCCCGGATGCGAAGTGGGCCTGAGAGCACGAAGAGGCGAGAAGAGGTCCTTGCACAAGAGGAGTCACCAAGCAGAGCAGAGAAAGGCGCTACGACTTTAAACGCGGCATGTCGGGATATTTGTACCTCTCCTTTCAGCGTCCGCCTCCAGCGGAAGTGAACGTGGAGGCAGCCCTTGTATGCACTGGCTCGAGAGCTGCGAAGCAGACGATCAACATTTCACCGCTGCTGACCAACGATCTCCGAGACGAGGCATTTGTACCCGAAAGTCTTGCTGGAGCTCCGCGGCTGCACTTCGCTTGGGTGACCCTGAATCAAGAAGCTGGACGAGAATGGCAGGTAAAGGCGCTGGGAAGTGTCTGCAGCACCGCATGGCTTGGGCCTGAGTCCGCCTGGAAGACCGTGAGCATCGCTCTACCCGAGCTGGAGCGTTATGACGGTGATATTTGGGTCCGACTTGCCCTTTGGGCATCTACCGCGAGCAAGGAAGTCTTGAGCGCGGAGAACCTCACTCAGGTTGTGCAAGATGCGCTTCGGGTGCCGATTGAGGTACACACGTCAGCAAATGGTCAGCCAAGGATCATTCCGGTGCTCAGTGGTCCCATTCTACTGCGCAAAGCTTCCATTCAAGCCGTTCAGATTCACAAGCACGCGTCTCAGAAAGGTGCCTGGACCTCCACCCAGCAGCTCGCGAGCACGGCTAAGGAGAATGTGAAGACAAAGTTAGACACTCTGACCCGCCTCTTCTCGTTATGTCTACCCTATGAAGACTCGGCGTGGATGTGCAAGCCTTCCGCTGTGTCAACAAGCGCTTCTAAAGTTGAGCCGAGCGCATCAACCATCATGATCACGGAAAGGACTGGGTACGAGCTGGATAAGGTGAGCGCTCCGAGCAGCTCTGCGACTTTAGCCGCAAAGTCCTCGTCAAAACTGCTCACGTCCGCGTCTACTCTTTCAGCATCTGTGGGACGCATCTCTGCATCTCTCTCGTCTTCTGCGTCATGTGATGAATCAGCGGGACATCGACTCCCCAAAGGCGACAGAGCCGCTCCGCGACGGACGTCGCAAATGGCAGAGGGTGGACAAAGAGACGGACACAAGCGCGAGCGACAAGATCACACCTCCAGGACAGCTAGGCGCGCTTAAACATCTTCGAACACTCCTACAACGCACGAGTCTTCGCGTCGTTGAGCTAGGTATGCTTCAGGTCGTGCACTCACTCGCGTTGTGTGTGACTCACAGACCCTTGTTGCCATTCATGCAGGAGCCGGAACTGGGCTCCTCTCCATCGCCTTGGCTGTCCTGCTCATAGCGCGAGATCGAGGGGCGCTCGATAAGGCAAGGCTTGATGCCAGGCCTCAGCCCCCGCTTGAAAACCGCGCCGATATTGAGACGCCTGGAACACCGCAGAAACTCCACATGTATGCCACGGATTTGTGTGAGCATCACTAAGCGATGTCACTTCTCCTCATCTGACACTATGCTTTGCCCCTTCACAGCTTCCGCGCTGGAGCTGATACAAAGCAACATAGATGACAATAGGACGCTCCTTCAAGCGCAGCAAAGCTTCACACCTGAATCCCTTCTTATCGAGCCCTTGATGCTAGACTGGGACGAACAATTGCCATCTCTGCTGCGAGATGACCAGCCCGATCTAGTGTTGGTATCCGACTGCACTTACAACCCGGAATCTTTCCCTTCACTCTGTCGCACAATCCGAGATCTTCTGACCCGACCGAGTGCACCTCGAGGAAATGGGCCACATGCGCCAGTCTGCCTTTTGTCAAAGAAGCATCGCCACGCAGCAGAGGAAGCGCTTTGGGCAGCAATGCAAAGCAACCACCTATCTTGGACGCTCTTGTCTGGTGCGAATGGGTTTGGCCAAGGCTTCAATGCCAGCTTTGATCCTCTATCTACTAGCGACATTGCGATCGTCGCAACTGACACCGCGTCGGACGACAAGGAATACGCCGGATGGGGCATCTGGCTTGTTCGCATAGCCAGCCCATGAGACCAGTCTCGGCCCGGCTCGTCGCTTCATCCGCTACAACTCTACCAACTGGCGCGCCTCACCTCCATGTTGTTGTCGACATCAGTATCTGCCCTGTACAACAGTCAACCTGGTGCAGATGAATGCATTGCCTGTCACTTCCGCTTGAGTACAAGTAGTGACTGCAATGGTGCGGCCAAGAGAGCCGGAGGCTCAAAAATTGCATATAGCATTCAAGTGTTCTAGCTGGCCTGTCCAAAGATGCTGAACTTTCTAACGATGCCTGGACCATGCTCATCATAGTCTGCTTTGGAGTAGCAAGCACCTTGGAAGTCTGGAAGACTGCCCAGAAGAGAACCGCCGTACCACACAGCGTACCGTTGCATTTTGTGCGAAATGACATCTGAGCGGGGGAGGCAGCGGAAAAAACTTGTCAGTCGGCCGCACATGTAAACATCCTGATACCATTGGCACCGCACACACAACGCGGCCAACACTCACTGACGTCAATGCCCGAACTGCGCATTAGACTTCCGCTTGCAACCTCGGATGCAGCCAGTCTGGAATCGACGATCGAGCGCAAGTCTTTCCTCAATCGTTGACCAAAGTGTGCAAACATGGTGGAACCTCCGGAAAGAACAATGTTCTGCGGCGCAAAAGCGACAGAGCAGAACTTGAGGTCAGTCTCTCATTCTGAGTCTTTAGTCGACGCTGGAGGTTTGCGCCCAAAAAAAAATGCTGGAGACGCACCTTGTAGAGACCTCTCCTGACATCAATTGGGCTTTGCTGGATCACGGTGTCGACCACCTCTGGCAATGGGGTTAAAAAGTCCGAACTGGCAATCTCTGGATTGAAGAAAATTTCTGGCGCCAGAAATCTTTCATAACCGACGTCCACAGAGTATTTGCGGCCCGTCACTGTATGCTCGCCTTCAAAGCGCTCGAAGTACTTCAATGGATCTACATCGTAGCGCCTAAATTCTCGAACAATGTCTTGGCACACGTAACTAAAGTATTAAACGAGAAGGGGGCTAGCTGTCAGTCTTGCTATCAACCAACAACTTCAATGCGTCTATACGCACCTGTAATCTTCCTTGATCTTCTCTGCCACCCTCCTGCTATCCTCTGGTGGGATATTGGCCGCCTCGCCCCTTTCTCTGAGTAACTGCTGGACGAAGTACGTGATATCTCGTCCAGCGATGGGAATGTGTTTGATTGCGCTGCCAATCACATAGCCTTCCGCCTGCAAGAAGTCGCAAATCGCGTCAAACGGGTCTACCTGTCAGCAAGCGTAGCCGTGCTCAATGTCTGCACTCTACGGCATGCCACTCACCACTGGAATGACGTGTGTGACACCATCTCCAGAGTCGATGACAGTACCGGTTAGAGTTCTGTCCGTCACCTTGTTACTGCTCCAGCTAGCAGCCAGGGCAAGAACGGCCTGGACGGCAATATAAAGACCCTTGACATTGAACGACTCGAACATAATCTCTGCCGTATTCTCTCTATTCTCGGGAGGATTCAGAGGTGGCTCCGTCTGACCAAAGTTGGAGACCGGGGATGGATTGCGTACGAGGCGTCAGCACATTGCACTTTGAGCAAGGTCCAGGTGCTCTCAGGTTCTCGTATATCGCCACAGAATTGCTGCCTAGCAGAGGTGATTGGAACTCACCAACATCGTGTAGTGATCTTCGGGCTCCGCTCGCAGATACTTGAAAAAGCACTGCTCCCAGAACCTCTCCATCAAGTCCCAGTTTTCGACCAGCCCATGCTTGATAGGCTGCTCGACTGTGATGGCAAGGGGCGAAAGAGTACATGAGTGTTTGATTGGGCCAGATTGTAGCTTGCCTTCGCTGTGCCGAAGGATCACAGCATCTTTCTCGGCCGTACGCGCTTCCACAAATCTCTCACTCACGCTGATACGTCTTGGCGTTCGCAACAGCCTCGTTTCCGATGAAGAAGTCCAAGTCCTCGATACCTCGCTTGCTAGCCAAGCTGCTGCCGGCCAATCCGCCAGGTTTGGAAGGAGCACCGGGAGCCCTGGAAGCTGAGGTGGAAGATGCACCACCTGCACCGCCAGAGGGACGAACTGCGATGGCCGTGGGGAACGTGAAGCTCGGCGACTGATTGCCTGCCCAACCACACTTCGTGAAACCTGTTCCACAGTCTATCACCGCCACGTTGGATTTGGACATGTTGCGATAAGTGTTGCAAGGATGACCTGAGAGTCGAGCGAGTGTCGAATATGTAAGAGCGGCGAGTCGGGGGTCGCAGTCGATTGCGTCCGGGCCAGCGAGTGAAGCTGCGACAAAGAATTAGGCAGGGCCTACGATCGTGGATGTTAATGCGCAGTCACGAGTCCTGAGCGAGTATGTGGATGGTGTAGGTTGTTGTCACGTCGGAAGCATCCTTGTGGTGCACTGATCGCGGACGTGCGGTGTCGCTGTGCTGTGAACCCATCCACAAGAGGGCAGCTGC